CTCGCCTATATCGCTTGCTTCTGTGCTACACCGGCGAAAGTCCGTCAGGTCTCACGCCGGAAGATTTGCATGCGATCGCTCGCGCCGTTTTTTCTTCCTCGACAGCGAGAGCGAAATCAATTCGTGACATTCAACTTGGAGTTATCTTGAAAGCGACGCTTCTTTCTTTCTTCTAACTATGCTAACGCGACAACCAGTGAAATTTCCTCGGCGATTCATTCATTCGCGCGGACTCGTAGCGTCACTTTCCGTGATTTTTTTTTTTTTTTTTTCGTCGTGACTTACCGAAATAACGTTACGACGAGTTCGTTAAAGTTGTTACTTGGCTCGCGTGATATAACTTCTGGACAAGCCTCGAGTGGTAATTAACAAGAACAAAGGAAAAAAAAGGAAAAAGAACCACAAATCCGTTACACGAGTTTTATGCTTTACTTAATATTTGCCAAAAGGTGTCCGAGGAGTTAACGATCTCGTAAAGAGCACGCAACGCGTCCGCTCGAGATTCTATACGAGGTCGGTGAAAAGACGCGGCGCGCGCGCCGAGCCGCACGCGAACCCCCGTCGCGGCCGCGGCGAAGTCAAATATTTGTCGAGAATTAGGCGCGCGCTCGTTCGCCGATTTTCACCGATAGGAGCGTAACCGCGCGAGCGAAAGGCAAGGCGGAAAGGAATAAAGAACCAGCTCTGATCCAGCCTGGCCGGCAACCGCAAGAAACCGCCTGGCGCGTTCGCGTTTCCGCGTAGAAATCGGAAGAAGAGGGACAGGTTGATCGGCACCAGCGAGCCGGACTATCGCGTGTCCTCGCGAAAAAGCAAAGACCGATCGGCAAGTGTGCTCAACGCTCGGCGCAGTCGCGCGCGAAACGGATACAAGAGCCGCGGGCGACAATGGAAGCGCGTCGGTGTGCGTGGGCTCGCTTTATCTGGCGCACTGGCGATAATGAACTTGCGACGACGTTGTCGTCGTTTATTGCTATCGGAAGAGTTGACAAGTGTACGCGGGCGGGGGGAGGCTCTCTGCCGGAAGTTGGACGCAGACCGGCGGCAGGGGGCGGGCGGATAGTTCGCGAAGGAGGAGGAGGAGGAGGAGGAGGAGGAGGCAGTGGCAGCGGTGAGCGGCCTCGAAGCCAACGTATACACACACAACGCTAGTCGGCCCGCGTCGCTTCGCCATCGAAGATGAGCTCCTCGCTGCTCTCTCGCCACGCTTGACTTTCGGCTAACGTTAGATTTGCCAAAGCAGTGAAAGTGCCATTGTGCTCGTCTGTGAGTTTGTTGCTCTCTCTCTCTCTCTCTCTCTCTCTCTCTCGCCGCGTGGACGTTTTTCAGCGCGAATCGTTCGCCAATGATTCACTCGACGCGACTTTAGCCAACGACAACAATCGATCGAACGTAGACGACGATAGTGACTAACAAACCGATAAGTCGCTAAAAAAAGAGAAGGAAAAGAAACAACAACGAAAGACGCGCCGCGCTCGTTCGCGGAAATTACAGGTTCGGCTCGTTAGGTTTGGCGCGACCGTGTGCGAGAAGGCTACCGTTAAGCCCGTTAAGCGCAAACGCGACTCTGTCATTTGGCTTTGCATATCCACTCGGCGAAGGCTGCTCGAAAAGCACGGATTACCGCGTGGCATGTCGTTGTTTCTTTCGCGCTTCGGTTAGTGTCTCGGGAGGAAGACGCGTGTCTGGCTCGTGCACCGCCGACGCGCAAAGGTCGGGCGAACTTTCGGCGCTCGGGGCTCGTGTCGATCTCTCGTTCTCGGGAGGAAGACGAGGGACGAAGAAAGAAAAAGAGGCGCGCGCGCGGAGCCCGCATGGTCCTTGACGCCCGGAGCGCGCACCAGCGCGGCTGCGGCAGTCCTCGGCGCGTATCGCGAGGACTGACGAGCGATTAAGACGCGCGCGCCGCCTCTGGTCGCCGAGCGATTCGGTCTTTCGTAACACGCGCGATAAGCCTGCGCGCGCGTTCGTTCTTTCTCTCTCGCGCACTCTTTCGCCGATTCCCAACGGCGTGGCGCTCTCGCGTGCGGAGACACGCGCGCGGCATGGCTTGGTTGTTGATATCGCTGTTGCTTTCGCGTTTCGAGGACTAAAGAGTATTCGGGCAGCGCTAAGTGTTCCGCTTCAACCAAGACGATTTAGAGGTGATGGCGATTCGATTCAACGGCGCGCGCGAAAGACCGGAACTCGGCGAGCTGAGAGAATAAAGGGCTCTGAAAGAGAGAGAGGGAGAGAGAGAGAGAGAGAGAGAGAGAGAGAGAGAGAGAGAGAGAGAGGGAGCAGTAAGAACGAGCGTATAAATACATAGAGAGCGAGAAAAAGACAGTCGATATCGACTTTACCAATCGCACTCCGAGAGAAGCGCGAGAAAAGAAGAATAGGAGGTGTATTAATATTGTTCGCGCGCGAGCGATCGGCTGACCGGATATCCCACTCGACGCGCTGCGGAGTGTCGAAGGAAATCGAGAGGAGAGGCGAGAGAGAAAGAGAGAGATGAACCATGTCCTGCAGGAAGAAAATCGACTCGAAGATGTGGAACGAGTGGTCCGAGTACGCGCAAACGGTGAGAAACCGAGTGCACATTTATTGTCATTGGCGGCGAACGAGGAACCGTGAGTTTGCACGCGGCGTGGATCAAACGGTCGAGAGCTCGCGCTCGAGTGCAGCCAAGTTATCGGTTATCACTGGCTTCGACGCGGACCGTCACTTTGCGGGCTCGGCCCTCCTGGGACTGTTAACGACGCGTCGTCCGCGCGTAGCGTCCACTGCTTCGAAGCCGAGGAGATGCGCCATAGCATTGTGCGCCGGGACAATAATGGAGCGTCTTCTGGGTCGCGACGTCACTCGGGCTCTTGTCCCGACGCGAAGCGAGGGAAAACCAAGCGGATCCTCGGCCGCGCTCGGGCACAGCGAGACCGCGGGAGGCGCGCTCCGCCGCGTCGCGGAGGGATATCTCGTCATCGGGATGGAGCGCACAATGGTCGGCGCCACTCCTCCCTTTCTGTAGCGAGGCCGCCGCGGGCTGAAACTTCGCGGAGAGCACGTGGGCGCAATCGTGTTTGCTCAATCGCGCGCTGCGGCCCCGCCGACGCGCGGCGCATGCTGGAGACTCGCGAGGCTCCCTCCTCGCTCCGAAAACCAGCGCCGCGTCTAATTGCCCTAACACGCCGCGCTAATCGCTAATCCGCCGCGGCAAATCTCGTCCCTTTCGCATACCGCGCGTTCCCCGAAGCGAGAAGCTCCTCTTTATTACACGTACCTACTCGTTCGCTGCGCGCGCGCGTGCACGCGCGTGTGTGTGTGTGTGCGTGCGTGTATGTACACCACGGCCGATTCGGCGCGATCCCTCGCGTTCGGTTTTTGCCGCCGAGGCCCCGGCGACCTTTGTCTTTATTCTCGCTCGCTCGCAGCAGGGATGGATGCTGCGAGCAGTGCGCCTCACGCGTCGTCCGGATTTCGGCTGCTCGCGACGATTCGAAGCTTACGTACGTTGCGCAAAGTAGCCACGGCCAACGGCCGAGCTTTCCTTGCGCAACGCTTGCCGACCCGCGCGGCGCGTCGACGTCTTCTCGCATTTTTCGAGGATAAAACAAGTCGGCCCGAAGTTATAAGCTTGGCCGTCGAAACGCTGGCGTAACGTTATAGGCGAGGAACGCCGTAAAAATATTGCCGTAAAACGCGGTAAATAATAAAAGTGAATTATAGATATTCTCCGAACTCTCGAAAACTGAAGCACTGACAAGAGGCCTTTGTTCGGCCAATGATTAGCCGTAGGTAGGCCAGCCTCTACACGCGCGTTCATTTCAACGGGGGACGTGTGAAATGTCTCTCAGACCCGAACGCTCGCCAGTGGTAAGGCCCATTTTATCATCTCAATCTTGGCCTGTGTGTGCGTCTAGACCGCCAAGCGAAAAAGCGAGTTTTGGCCCCCGAAAATGCCCCCCCCCCCCTCCGCGCGCCTTCATCTACCGTGCCTTCGCCTTTGCTGGCCTTCGGGAAAAAGAGTCAAGAGAGAGAGAGAGAGAGCGAGCGCCGACCAAACTCGTTAGATAATAGCTCGCGACGCGCCGTCGATCGGTGCACGAGCGCGAGTCCGCGGCACCGATCGGCCGGATCCGGTCCTCGACGACGTAGCCTACCGAATCGCCGAGTCTCCGCGTATATAGGTCTGGTTTTCAATGAAAGTCGAGCGCTTTGGCGAGTCTCGTTTTTCACCTGTTGCCACTGCGCGCTGGCCATTGTGCACGAAACGCGCAGCCTCGCTCCCACGTTCGTTTCGTCCCTGTAGCGAATAAACAATCTCTCTCTCTCTCTCTTCCTCTCTTTCGTGCAGCCTTCCTCTCCGCGCGTCGTTTTCTTCGCCTTGCACGCTTCGTCCGCGCGAGCGCGCGCGTTTCATTGTGGCCCCTCGTTCCTCGTGGCGCACGGCACTTTCACTTTTGCGGCCGCGCGCTCGCGACATTAGGAATCTAGAGCGCTCGCGGACGATGAAATTCGATTCTCTCCTCCTCCGCGCTACCCCCTTCGCGCCGCTCTTGCCGCTGCGTCTCTTCGTTTTTGTTTTCGCCCCTCGCGGCCTTTCGAACTCCCGTCCTCCGCTTGCGACTGGTCGCCGCGGGAGAGCAGACAGTGGGCAGTTGCAAGGGATTAACATTCGGCGCTGACTCACTCAGCAGCGAGCGCGAGAAAGCCACCGATTGCTCAAGGAAGCCACTCGATCTTGGGAAATGATCTGGAACCGCGATGGGTCTGTAATGCGCTAATAGAACGTCATGGAAATCCGTTGCAACACGCGCATAACTGAAACTCTCCCACTGTCTGCCGGAGCAGCTCTCGTTTTCGGCGGCTCGGGGACGCCGCGGCAGCGTCGCCGTTGACTTTTCCCAAGCGCGGCGCCCGCGAAACGCTCGGCCGGTCGATCGCTACACGAGGCCTGAGAGAGGAACGCTCGGAGGGGGAAAAAAGAGCCGCGCGGCGGCGGCGGCGGCGGCGGCGGCTCTCCGAGTCTCCGCGCGCATAGTTATACAGAAGGAGGGCAGAGAGCCGAGGCACGTCCCCCTTCTCTGCGCGGCGAGCGCGACGCGGAGCGCGCTCCTTCGAAAACTCGCCGGACTACAAAACTGACCAGTCCGCTCTCGAAACTCTTGCGCCGTGTGCCGCGCGCTCGTTCCTGCTCTGCCTACCTGCAGCCTCGCATCTCGCGCGCGACCGCGCGTACGCGCGCGCCTGTGCGACGATGAGCCACTGACCGGCGACCAAGGTACGTGTGGTGCCCGACCGGGTTTCGCAAACCAACAGCGAGCCAGCTCGCCTGGCGACCTCCGCGCTCGAGCGGCTGCCCCGAAATTGGCGTAACGCGTCCGCGCCGCCTATTACCGGGGCCGATTCGCAGCACCTGACGATGCGTGCGCGCGTTCTTCGCTGCGTCGCTGTTTCTTTTGCTCCCCCCGCCTTGCGCAACGATAAGAGGGCGTGAAAGTTCGATGACGCGCCGTCGAGTGTGTCAAGGTCGCTGCGATTTTTTCTCCTCTCGGGGGAACGTGGAAGCGCCCGATGCACCTCCCCGAGGGGGGAAAAAGTCCAGAGTTCACTTTCTCTTATTACGAGGCGTGCTCGTGCCCCCGCCTGCGTGCCTTTTTTTCCTCTCTCTCTCTCTCTCTCTCTCTCTCTCTCTCGTCGTTTCTTTTTTTACGCGGCGCGGGTGCCGCTGCCGCGCGCGAGCAGGGCGCATTCCCGATGCGGACTTTCTCTTCTGTATCTCGCGGTACGGGCACGCGCGCGCGCGCGAATTATTACGCCGGAATAAGCAGCGGCCAGCGAGGGAATTCACCTTCGCGGAGTGATCGATTGTTCGGTTAACGAGCGCGCAGAACGAGTTGGCCGCCGCCGTGTGGGCGCGCGCGCGCGTCAAATTTGGGACGGCTCTCGCTCGAGGAAGCCGATTTGTCGTCGGAGCCATCGTCGCCGAGTTACGCAAGACCGATCCGACACGGTTGACCGCGGCTCGCGAACCGATCGGCCACGGGCTCGCGCGCGCGCGCGCGCGTTAAGGCTGGAACAGGGGCGTTCGAGCGCGGACCAAAGGCCGCAGTTGGTTCCAACCGGATGGCTGTCGAGACGACGAGCTCAAAGCCGCGAGCGATAACGCGCACGCTTCGGCTCGCTCTTCGGGAATTTTCGAACAACGATCGCGCCGGCGCTTTGTCTATCTATATATATCGACTCGAGTGTCCGCCGCAAAAGCCTTTGGCTCAAGGACGCCGCGCGCTCCAGCGACTCGGAAAAGCCCTCGCGTTTTTCGCGCGGCTGCTCCTCCTTTTACGTGCCGTGAGCGCGAGAGAGGCCAAGGAGGGCTTCGGACGAGCGACAGCCGCCCGTCCCGTGGTCGTTGCGGGACGCAAAGGCACATTACTAGCGGGGGAGAGGGAGAGGATTCGCCTCGGCCGAGTGCTCTCGCTCTCGGCTTGCAGCCTGCCGTTCTCTCTCTTTACACCTCTTCTTTACTTTCGCTGGGGGCCAAGCCCAGCCTCGAACCTGCATTCTTTCGCGCGACGGGGATATCCGTCACCCGCGACGACCCACATCTCGACGCCGCGGCGCCCTCGGAAAATTCTCGCGGTCAGCGCGCGAACGGCAAAGACGGCGAGTCCCGTTAAGCGTCGAGGATCGAGGAGATGCGCGATGCACGGCCGATCGAAGGAGGTGCCTCGAAGGAGCGCGAACGGCCGCGAGCGTTTTGATACACCCACGGCGCGCCGCCGCCGGTCGAAGTGGCGCGCGCCGAAAAGTGTGCCTGACTTTCTCCATTCTTGACCAACGGTTTTTTTGTCTCGCACGCGGGCAGCGCGCGCGATAGGAGGTCAGCGAGCGGAGCGCACGACCGCTGCCAGATTCGCGCGGGCTTTGCTTTGTTGCCGGGACGACGACGATGCATTACGGGCGCGCGCGCGCGCTCTCTGGATACAGCGGGGGAGGGAGAGACACGGCTAGTCCGAATCGAGCTGCTCTCCAACGAGACGCCGATCGAAGATCGAGGGTGAAAACGTTCGTTCGAGGTTGCGACGAGTAGTTTTCAACGCGCCAACGTCGAGTCTCTCGGCCACTCTCACAGCTCTCTCTCTCTTTCTCGCGTCCCGCAGATGGAGTCGGAGGTGCGAACTCTGCGCCAAGAGGTGAGTCGCACGCAGGACTCGCTGAGGTCGGCGACGCGCCGTTGCCGCGAGCTTGTGCGCGAGCTCGACGGCCTGAGCGCGCAGCACGAGCGCGAGCGGCTTCTGCGCGACCAGCAGCTGTCGCGGATACTGCGGGCGCTGCTGGTGCTGGAGGCCCGGCTCAAGCAGGAGCAGAAGTCCATCAGGCAGCTGCTCTGCGAGAAGGACAACGTCATAAGGAACCAGCAGCTGGAGATCGCCAGGCTCAGGCGCTACACCAAGAGCATCATCAAAGGCAAGCGCGAGCAGCAGCAGCAGCAACAGCAGCAGCAGCAGCAGCAAGTTTGCGAGGCGGACAAGGAAAGCGCGGACCTGCCGTCGCTCGAGTCGTCCGACTATCAGGTCCGTTTCACCTTTACCCGGACGCGCCTGTTCCGCCGAGGAAACCACGCGGTCCACCGGCTTTCGCTCGACCGATCCGAGGAATGGCAATGGACCAAGGGTTTTTCCACCACGGCCGAGTGACCGCGAGCGATTTTAAAGGCCGTCGCGGTTCATTTGCGACGCCACGGCTGTGGAAAAACAATTCCAGCGATCGGCGAGCCTCGAAAGTGTTTCCGATGTCCTCGGCGACGGTCGATGGGTCCACGGGGAAATTAAACGGTTTAGAAATTTTACAGTCGATTTCACCAGAAAGATTCCGGCGGCTTGATAAATCTCTGACTTAAAAGCTTATCGCGCGAGCCTAATCGAGCCGAGTAATCTGAATGCAGCGCCACCGAGGAGACGGACTTTCGCTCGCGCGGCGATCTCCGCTGGCGATTAAAGCGTCCGACGCAACTGTACACTTCCCCGTGAAATTTCCCGAGGAAGCAGCTTTTCCTTTTCATCTTTTTCAGGATCACGATAGCGGACTGAGTAAGGACATGCAGAAACTCAAGTGTGAGATAATTACGAAACTGAACGAGAGCTTGGAGGACGCGCCGGGCAGCAACATCCGAAAGACGCACAGTTTCGCCGGCAGCGATATCTCAAAGGTGAGCCTGACGTCGAGCGAAAACACCGACGCGTCCATCATCACCACCACCACGGACGGCAGTCCGTCTCTGCTGAGCACCGAGGGCTTCTGCGAGGGCGAGTCGACCGACGTCTCGCCGGGATCCACGCTCAACAAATCCAGCAGCAGGTGCACGCCGACCATCGTGACGACCGACAGCGAGACCGAGGTGACGATGGTGATACTCGACGAGAAGACCATCGCCAGGTCCGAGAGCAAAGACGACGGCATGGATTGCAACTACGCGTCGGACGAGGAGGAAGAGGAGGAGGAGGAGGATGACGAAGACGACGACGACGACGACGACGACGACGAAGAAGAAGACGAGGACGACGAGGAGGACGAGGAGGAAGGCAATTACGAGAACAACACGAGAAAGCTACAGACGAGCGAAGACCGCAGCAACAACAACAACAACAACAACAGTGGCAGTAGCGAAAACAACGGTGTGGAGGTGAGAATGACGAGGATCGATCCGGAGGAGCAGAACCAGGACGAGTCGTCGGGAAATTGGTACAGCGACCCGGACGAGGATCGGATCAACGACGAGATGATGCGGCACAGCGTGTATCGGCCCAACAGCAATCACAACTCCGTGCTCGAGTGCGTCAATCAGATTCTGCTGCGAGACATGGAAGACGAGGAGAACGTACTGTCAGTGCCGAGGCGATTCAAGCACCGCGGCAAGATCGTCAGGTTTCAGCCTGCAAGGCTCTCGGACATCGAGTCCGTGGGCTCGGAGATGGAGAGGCGCAATTCCGACGAGCCGACGCCGCTGCCCATCGGCGCCAGCCTCGACGCGCACGGCCGAGAGGTACGCGCGACGCCCCGTCGCTCGCCGACCGACGCTCATGTTCCGTTGTCTGCCCGCCAGGACGCCAACGACGACGAGTCGGAGACGCCCATCGACGGATTCGAGGCTACCAATTCCGAGGACGAGTTCGGCATGAGGATAGTACCCGCAGTATTAGATCCGGAATCGGGATTGGAGGAGGACGCCGAGGAGACCAAGGCCAGGCCCATCGTCATTATAGAGCCTCTCAACAACTCCAATATTTCGCGGTAATTCATCGATGCTCGCGTATCCCGTACTGTTTCCGACTGATCGGCTCATCACGCCTTTGATTTTTCAGATCGAGCACGAGGAACAAAGGCCAATGCAAGGCGAGTGCGCGCATCGAGGAGCAGACGTCCGCGACGGCGAAGGCCACCGAGATAATCGCTGCGGCAGCAGTGCCGAAAGTACCACCGGCTCTGCCCCCAAAGCCCCAGTTTCGCAGCAGCACGCTCGTGCTCAAGAAAATACCCAGTCCGTCGTTCCTCATCGACGAGACCTCGCAGAAGAAGCAGGCCCAGACCGAGGCGCTCGCTCTCGGCAGCAAAAACCCACTGACGCCTCCGTCGATGCGCAGCTTGAAGTTCGACGACATACCGCGGAAGAGGAACGACGAAAGCACGAGCTACTGGAAAAATCGCTTCAACAACGTGCGCTCGTCGTTTCAGCTTCGCCAGCAGGGCGACCTGGCTCGACTGTCGCCGGAGCCGCGCAAGGTGACCAACATCGTCAGGCACTTCGAGGAGTTCAAGATCGAGGGCAGTCGCGACGAGGCGCCGACGAAGAAGCCGCCGGCGCCTCCCGCGGACTTCGATGCCCACGAGTACGACATCCAGCAGAACTTCGAGGAGTTTAACCTCGACGAGTGCGATCTGTCCGACGACCCGGATCGACCCGAAGCCGACGGCTCCGAGACTTTCGCTAATTCCGTGCTGACCGGCCTCGTTTCTCCGAACGACAACTGCTCGACGAGCAAGAGCTTGGTGAACAACAACAGCGTCGGCAGCAATGGCAATTACGACAGCTTCCTCGAGGCCACGGGTCTCAGCAACAAGTCCATCCTCACGCCTTCGCGGCTGCTCAGCAATCACAAGAGCATGCTCAAACCCAAGGACGTCAAGTACAAGAGCAAAATCAAAGCGACGGCGGTGTTGGAGAGGCACGGAGTTAGCAGCAGCGCTAGCACGACGCACACGCGTCATTGGACCGGGCCGTTCGTTTGACGACTGGCCAGACGTGTCCTGCCTGATCGTGCGTTTCGGTGGGCAACCGCCGCTACGACCTCGCAGTATCAGCCCGAGGAACGCTCATCGTCGCCGCCGCAACCATTATTACGACTGAACGAACACCAGTGATAAACATTTTTCTTTTTCTCTTTTTTTCTTTATTTATTGTTGACCAAGTTAACCAAGTGAGAAGCCAAGTGTAAAGAAAACTAGTGCTACTAATTTTTCTTAGACTGCTAAAAATCACGAAACAGTGTAAATAGATGTGAAACGTAGGAAAAATTAACATTGTTAGAATATATACGTAACTTGTTGAAATATGCTGAATTTTAACGTGCTATTATGTCAAATTTGTGTTTATGTACATCAACATTTGTGTAGGCGTATCTATCACTTTGTTTGTGGAACGGTTATTTGCACGATAAAATCTATATGAAATCTGATTTCACATAACAATGTTATCTATATGTAAATAAAAACGAGTAGTATATAAGTGTAATTTTTAACGTAAATGCAATGTATTTCTGTAATGTGTGTTGAAACTTATCGTTTCTATACTGTATGTAAATCAAGTCATCAATTTATTTCGATTAAAGAATATAGCTGACGTATTTTGTATATTTTTACGAAACCTTATTTCTATTTTGTACGCAGTTCGGCAGGAAAAGTAAATAGTCCAAGAGTTTACAAAGAGTGTAATTTTTTTATTGAAAAAATTTTCGTTATCTTATGTATAAGCTCTGCACTTTATACGCTGATGTTAAATAGTATCTAACATATATATTTATAAACAACTAAAACATATTATACAGGTATGTCTATATATCTCCTACAAACAATAAAAATGATAACGCAATACTATAAAAATACAATGCTCATGATCAGTATTTCACGTAAGAAAAAGAAATAGTCAGGCGCGGAGTGGGGTGGAAGTCGAGTATGTTCGTGTGTGTTGTATGAAACAAATTACGTAGCAAGCTGAGCGAGTATACCACATAATCAGTACTCCATTTTACTTGATTATCCCACTGAAATATTCGCTTGTGTCTTCTCTTTCTTCTCTCAGACTGAATATTCACATCATGAATCATTCGTTCAGGCACTCTCTTACGCATGGCTAGAGCTATATTATCAATACAGACGTATCTATATGTGTATAGCCAAAGGTCTGCATACTCCAAGCAATTCAATTGGCACAATTTGAGCTTTCTTCAAGTCTCTCGCTCTGTTCGAAAATCGTAAAAATACTGCAAAGGCAAATGATTATTAGCAATCTACACGTTCGATTTAAAGATTTGATTCACAACGTATGTACCTCTTTATCCAACTCCTTCCGAGTTCGGATTTTAATGACGGGAAACTGCTTCTACAACGATGAAATAAGATTAATCAATGAAAAATACTGTTTATTTTTGAAAAAAACGGTCGCGATATGTAGGCACGTTTTTATCTAGATCAATTACGTACGGCTTAGAAAAGTCTTTTGCAAAAGATTAAAAATATCTTTGATGATTTCATACAAACGGTCAATTAAATTCCTACGTAAATTTCCAGAATGGAAAGAAGGGCGGCTTACATTTAACAAATATGACGTGCTAGTAGTGAGAAGAGGATTAAGAATAAAAGGAACTCCATCAAGATCTGAGGACCCTGGCAGTGTTCCGTATGATGGCACCAAATTAACGAGAGGCGATTTGTTGGATGGTGGCCTTGGCGCTGGTCGCGTTGGCCGTATTCTCGCACTTGAACTTAATATTTCGTAGTCTTGGTCTTGGCTCTCCTCCGACTTTCCTAGGTTGGATGGACTTATTTGTGGATACAGTCCATTTGTTGGCTTGATCCCGAACTTTGGCTTTGGCGGGCGTTCCGGTGCTGGCCTGTGTGGCGTTCCACCGTTCGACAGCGTTGGCGAGGCAGCTGGGAATAATCTAACAAAAATATATTCACGTTAATTAACTAGAATAATTAATTAATTAATAATTAATTAATTAATAATTAATTAATTAGAATAATAATTAATTAATAAACTAGATACTACGATTGGATGCATTTGGCAATTGAATAGACGGTAAAACTTACTCGATATTTGCATATGGCTGAGCTGTTAAGGAACCAGCTAGTAGTGGAACTGTTTTGTAACAAAGATAAACGCCATTTATGACACTGCAATGAAACAAAAACAATTGTAATTAATACCATTTACATGTTATGAAACATTTAATAAATAAAATTAATTTTTACCCAGCATAAGTAAATTCATCTGGAGCCATTTTAGAACCTTTGCCAAGCCTGCTGCAGATAATTATGTCTGACACTGCACATGTGCACAAATCTTTATTCCTAATTTTGTAACAGAGTTGTCTTTTACGCCATGCTTTTTGCACTGCAACGTAAAGACATGTGAATTACTATTGTTTTACATCAGTGAGAAAATTACAATACAGAGGTAGAATAAAAAAACTCGACTCAAGACTTGATTGTCTTGAATAAAATGACTTACTCGAGTCTACAGTGTGAGAAATCATACTAAATCCATCTGGAGGTGGTTCTCTCTCATCATGAATTGAAATTTTTTCTATAACAGAATGTGGTAATCCTTCAGTCTTTGAAAAGCATATGTATCGTGTCTTTTTCTTGATAAATAGTCCACTTTCTCGCCATAAGTCTGCATCTGAATCCAAATCATATGTTCTTGATACCTGTATACAGTAGCCAGTTGAACAAAAGTATTTATAGGTAGATGTTAAAATTATAAATTTAATTATATGGTTTAATACAGTTATAAAGAGATAAACATAATAGATTATCTTTTGTAATAATTAGAGTCTTATGAAACTTATATAGCAATTAAATATTCAAAAGCTATTCACACCTATACACAAGAAAATTAGTCCTAAAACAAAACAAACAAATATTAAACATATTTAAGAATTCTATTTCTAATGCATTGATACTTACAACAGTAAAATTTGGTGGACACTTGTCCAAGTCTTCTATAATATTTATTGCTGTAATAGGCCGATCATCCGGTAGTACAGATGATAACTGGTGAACCAGCATTTTGTTACCATCCTTCTTCGACATTGTGTTGCCCTGAAAACAAGCAAAGAGAAACTTTCTGTTAGAATTTTCAAATTAACAGCTTAGTAAGCATGAAAAATAAAAGAAGTCATGCCAAGCGTACAAATGAATTGCATTCCATTCATTTTTTTAGATGGCTAAACATGTTGCAATTCTTCACTTATATTTTCAGTGCGTCAATGCACAATAGCTAATACAGTTTAATTAGTACTTCTTACACTAGCAATCAATTCCCACACTTGAAATGAAAACAATTGACAAAGAAATATAATTGGAAACAGAATTTTATTTCTTTATAACAAAAAGTCATAATCATTAATTTAAGTATAAAATATATAATTAAATTTAAAAATTCATGTTTGTTCATTTTCTCAGAGAAAAAATGAAAAGTATTGAAAACACTCGTCATTCTGATAGATAAACTTTTGATAATAACTTTTAAGATTGATTTTCATTATTTAAGCTGTCTTTAACTAATCTATAATTCTTTTCCATGCCCTTTATGACATATCAAAATACGAAAAAAGGTTAATGAAGCTGAACAACGTGTAAAATGTATTCAATCGTAAACATTCAATGAAAAGCCGAGCACAAAAATCTGTTGATGGTGACGCAACGTAAACGCCGACGAGTGAACACAGCGGAACCGCGCAGCCTTTATTGAGGCAATCAGTTCCAATCAATACAACTAACGATCTTTGCAAAACAACAGCTGCACCTGCTAACTCCGTACCAGGAAATGGCTTACAAGAACGTCGACAATTCTCGAAATCCTTATTTCATTAAACGAAATTTTGATGCACCTTTAGTTTTTCCGTGTTGTTTATTTTTCTTTAAATTATTGTAAACAGCAGCTGTAAAAGCGAAGGTGTATCTTGAGGAAAAGCATCGTAAATAGACTGCACGCCCTCTCTGTTGTTATGCAGAGACGGCGGCGGCAGGTAGGTAGATATATGTCTCCTGATGCTTGCACGCGCACACAGACGCACACACACGCACGTAGAGGCGGATATATACGGACGAAGGAGTCGAGGAATCAACACAAAAGGCGAACCATTTCCAACAACGACTTGTCCTCGGAATCGATCGTTCTCTCCACTCTGTGCAACGCGCGCGAGTATAACAAAGCGCTCTCCAGGGATCCTCGTTTTTGCTCTCTTGAGTATGTATGTGTGTGTGTATACAGTAAGTAGGTACTACATGCGTGAACGCGAGGAGAGAGAAAAAAAGTGGCGAGACGAAATGTGCGCCGACCTCTGACTCTAACTCCTCGTCCGCGGGCGCGGGCGATGCCCTCGTAAGATCAACTGCGCATACGCAGGATATGTAGCCGCCGCTTCGCGATTACATGACTTTGGCCCCGATTAGACTATTTATATACACCAACACAGATGATATATTATGCGTTACCTGAGTGTTCCTCGACTCTTTACAGCAGCCGCCACCGAAGGATTCACCGCACCACCGACATTTCACACTACACTATAGCGTGCGACACACAACGGGCCGTGCGCAATAATATATTCTTGTTGCCGACTTGTTGGTTCTGCTGTACGTATAAGAGGAGAGCCGCTGCGAAGCGAAGCAGCGCGAGCCGCTCCGACGGGAGTTCTTTTCGGACTGAGCTCTCGCTTGCGAAGTACTCGTTTCGTTCTCCCTCTCACTCTATACACCAGCCACAGCAGTCTACACTCTCGTGCGCTCTATGTGCGTGAAATATGCCGCGAGTCCACTACAGCCTAGATTATATGATGCATATCTGTGTTTGGCCTCCCGTGTGTATAGATAAGATTAGTCCACGGATAAGCTCGAGCTTCTTTTTTGCGTAATTTTCTATTGAACTGGCACATGAACTGCGCGCTAGATAAAATTCGCTTGACTTTTCAGATATGCTTGTTCTACGACAGAGAGTGAGAGAGAGAGAGAGAGAAAGAAAGAGAAAGAGAGATAGCTTTGTTTGAAGATCATTTTAGCAGCTTCTTTTTTGTCTGCTACTGCAAGCGGGTGGTCGTCTGTGCGCGTTCCTTGCGAGGCTATGCTAGTTTCTTTGTTTTTATCAATGGGAGGCCTTGAAATGGATTCATTTTTCGCTAAACCGTTAATAGTAGATGATAAATTTTAATTGTATGCCATTACATCTTGCCAGGCTCTCGAGGAAACGCGCGAGTGATGTATAACTGAAATTTATCCGAAGTTTGAATTTTTGTTTTATTTTTCTTATTGTTTTCAACGCGATGTAACTGTTTTTAATCTTTTATTTCGAAACTGTAGTGTTACTGGACTTTATTTAATTTTATACAAAAACAGTAGCGCTCATTCAGTTTAAAGTAAATGCCGCGTTTCTTGTTATTTTTACATGCATCTCGTTGCATGTAGATGTATAAAAAGCACGAGTGGACGCTTTGTTCTTTGTAACGTTTTACAAAGAGCTTGCAATGTGTTTGAGCTCTGAATATTGATTTTTCATTGAATCACATTTCGCGACAAAAAAATAAAATTATATTTGAATTGAAATTGTGGATTTTTAAATATTAATGCGAGTGCGGGTCAAAGTTTTATTTTAGAACGTTGCGCGGTTAGTTGTTACAAACATCGTGCCGTAGCTACGGAGATGTAGGTGTATTTCTGACGAATATGTTTATGTAGACTATTTGATTTTCATATCTTTATGAAAATATAATAACAGCCCATTTGGAAATCATCTGTCGACGATGTAAAATGTAACGATATTTACGTAAATGCTATTTAAGTTTTAATGATGAATATACTCACAACGGATCGGTTTACTGTCGAACCTTTAACGACCGACAACGAGGCACTAATATACAAATCACGTACTTTCTCACGAAATTCTTGTACACGTGACGCTCACTTCGAAATCGAACCAACTCCTATTTAGACTAAACTTTCTCTCTCAATCTCTTTGGTTTTGGTCGCTATAGTCACTGTTTATCCAACGTTCGTTTGCACACACGCGCGCGCGCATACACACACACACACACACACACACACACACACACACAAATACACACAGAGTAAGTGGACAAGCATCATAACGTACCTATTCACAGACGAAGACTCGAATTCTCAGCGTAAGCATAACCGTGAAGACGCCAATAATGAAGTACTTATGCTCGGTAAGATGAAAATTGCGTACCCACTCCTATTCGCACGAGACGTCGTTATGCGCGTATTGTTTGTCACGCGGTCAGCTTTACGCATCTCACAAGTTTTCCGCCTCCTCTACCAGTTCTTTCACTTTGACCGTACCGTTAATCTTTTAGTAGGACGCAACGGCCTCTATAATGCTATTCTCGTGCTGGATTCGTGCGTGAAAATTTTGGAGGCTCCAGGAAGAAAAGAAACAACGCAACGCGAGATTATTCGAGAATAATTTTAATTTTAAGTTTTAACGATTATACAATAGCAGTTTGACAATTCGTTCGCGTGACTCTCGCGCGTCAAAACATCCGAATGTTCACTTGATATTGGAGGCGATTCCACGTTTGAGATGGTGAATCTGTCGCTTGAGACGGTAGATCTTGTGCCTCAGCTCGTCGATCTCTCTCCTCAATTCGCCTCGACGCGACACGACGTCGTCCTAAACAACATCGTTCACAAGAGGTTTATCAGGAAATTAACGAGCGCTCTTATCTCGAGCGAGAGCGAGAGAGAGAGAGAAGAGTGGCGAGAAAAGCTAAAGCAAATAAGAATTTTGACTATGGTTCGGCTCGCGGTTTGTATAAGCACACTCGATGCCGCACGCGAGACTTCGTATAATGTAATTACTCGATCTCCCTCGGTTTATTTAACGCGCGCGCGCGACGATGGATGCAGTCTTCATTAAGCTCTCTGCCCCTCTGGCTCTATAATTCAATGCGACAACGCGGAGAGAGGCCCCCGCGCTCACGCCTACATTTTCCATATCACGCGCGTTCTCGGCGCGTGGACGGCCGCCAACTCGGCGATTGCTTTTTTTTCCTTTGACTCAACTATACGCGCACGGGCACGCGGTGGAGTGCGTAGCGACGTCGAGAGAAGAAAAGTGACTGCGCTTCTTTTCAACGGATATTTTTGGAATCCGACGATCTATTTTTTAATTGGCATCGCGATGTGGTTTTGGGAATTGAAATGACGCAATAGTACATTACGTAACGAGCGCGTTAATTAGCACATCGGCTGACTTGTGCGGGAAAGATGTAGATTTTCGCCTCGTTTGACGAGCTTTACGTCTGGTCGAAGCGAGGCTGAAAAAGTGTACGAGACAAACCATACTTTTCCACACGGCGTGTGTTGAACATCGAACTTACGGCACGCTGCGTGAAAAAACACTATATTGCAAACTTTTTTCTCGACGTAAGTGTATACGGGCGAAGAAAATTTATTTATCACCGAATCCAACTCTAATGGCTAAATAAGCCATAGTTTTATGAATGAGAAACGGCATGTCAGACGAGCAACGCTATCACTTCGGAACTGTCAAGTCACGTTACCGTGCGTCATTCATGTAGAACGCGCTTTTCAAATATGCCGAGCGCTTCGCCGCTCGATGGCGCCAGATTACACGACCCTTCGCGGAAGTTTAGAACGCGCTACGCAATCTATTTTCAGTCCGCGACGACGATGAAATGGATCGTTAACTTTTTCAACTATGCGAGTAATTATAAGCGGAAAGTCAATCACTCTATCAGTGCTTTATTTTCAAATTCCTTCCAAATTGCATCCATTAAATGCTTTGGAATTTTTCCTCTTTTTAATAGCGCGAAATTAGAAACTGAAAAAAGTAAAAAACGCTGGAGTAATATTTGAAATATTGAATTCATCGTTATAGAGATAACATTACGATCAAAGTGGATTTAGTTCACGAACGGTGAAATCAATAAAGTTACAGCGTGATTGTACTTGACCAGCAGCAAGTTACCATTATCTTCGTGCTTCCATAATGATGTGGTTCAGTAACATTTATGCTCCATAATAGCGCACCGACTAATTGGGCTATCGTCGAATTGTACAGATACCCTTGATCCTGAATAATGCGAGCTATTTTTGCATTCAGAGCGTCAGCTCGCGAGGAAAGACACGCGAGGCTCTTTCACACATTATGTTAAATCAATGATGTGTTTTGTTGCCAGGAGGTCGACATAAAGTCGATGGGCATGGCAAACCTCATTGTATGCAATCGTCACAATTGGCAGTCCCGTGACGAAAGCAGCTGTTCCCACCACCCCTTTTCACCACCGCGTTGGATAACGCGTGAAGGCCAACTTTGCTCGTGCAGCGCAGATCCCGAACCATGCTCACCTATACGGCAGCGATAACGCGATAACGAAAGGAAGTGAATCGGTGCGCGGAGGGCTGCTGCGGCGAGACCTCGTTCCGTATAGCCGCGATCGACCGTATTTCATTCGCAGCGTTTTTGCAATTCCTCTGCGTATATACTTTGGGAAAGTCGGTTGATTCCGAGTGAGCCGTGCCACCGATTGTCTCGCTCGGCCTTATTTCCGTTTTCGCGATAGTTATCGCGTCCGATTTCTCGAAACACACGCGCGAAGAATGATATACACGCGCACGCGCACGCGCGTCCAACTCAAGTCCACGCGGAAAAGTGTAACGCTTGGAAAACGCGACTTCCTGTTTACCGACGCGACTCTCTCGACTCGAGATCGATCATCAAGGAAGCGTTGCGCCAAATCGGACAGAGAGAAATCCTCCAGCCGCCAAGGCGACAACGCGCTTTTTGGCTCGAACGACGCGCAGGGCTGTTGGCATTCGCAACGCTCTCCGTCGGGGGCAATACTTAGGCGCTCCATGGTTGATACACCGATTTGCGTAGCGCAGCTCATCACCGAGGGACACTGACCGCAACCCCGATATCATTTTATCACCGTGCCCCATCTCCGCGCTACGACTCGCCGATCGAGATTTCTCGATACGTGCGTTGCGTTTCTTGGTACTCGATCGTATAATTTTTTCGGCAAAATACCAACAGTTTAACAGTGATTGGCCGTACAAACGCGCGGAAATTTGAATAACAATAAGGTGAAAACGAAAACATCGTCGCCGCCGCTTCTGTACACACACACACACACACACACACACACACACACACACGCGCGCGCGCACGCACGCACGCACGCACGCACGCACACACACACACACACACACACACACACACACACACACACACACACACACACACACACATAAGCGAGAGAGGGAGAAAGAGCGAAATGTAGACGCCGATTGGAAAAATTCAAATGCCATCCTTGCGCGGCGACAAATCATGCAAATCACGACTCGCGCGTATTGGTGAAATCTAGCCCTTTCGAATTATCGGCGATGATTTTTGAAAGTGATCCAGATGCTTACTCAGCGTTTCCTCTCTTGTATAACACGTCGAATAGTCATTAATCTTTTTCCGCAATCGTTTTGTAGCGAAGAGATGACAGGCTGTCCTCGTATTCAACAAGTGCGGTGCGCAATGACGATAGTTGCATTAGTTTCCCGCGCTGTCACACACACGCGCGTCGTCGTCGATCCTAACCTAAAAAAGGAAAAAAAAAGTGGGGGCCCCTTGCGGCCTCGGTCCGTGTCTGCACAAGGGGGACCGTGCACTGGATGGCATAAGGCGCGAGAAAAAGAGAGACAGACAGACAGTCAAGCTAGGCGAGAGCAAGAAAGACAACGGGAGAAAGAAGTAAGGGGGGAACGAAAACACG